GAAGCCGCCTTTGGTGCCACTACACTTTTGAGAGAGCACTCTAAAACAAACAATTTTTTTTAGTCAAAATATTCTGACAAAGCAAAAAACATCGTTTTTGGCCTGTTTTTTAATAAGCTTGCATATATATATTTTTTGAAAAGCTTGTCTATTTTTGTGAAGAAAGGAATTTTATAGTTTTTCAAAGTGCTTTGAAAATCATATGGGTGACATTAACTGTCAAAACTTAAGAAAAAATTCGCCCCTCCACGATTGGGAAAATCCCAAATCAGCACCTGCACATAGTCAGCATCCAAACCTAATTGACAAGATTGGTTACTATTGCGGTTAGCAAAGTTTATCAAATTCGACGCTAAAATTCTGTTCTTCTAATACTTTTGAAGCAGAAACACGGCAAACTTTTACTCATTAGTACTACTCAAAACTTTTACCTAAAAAAAGTTAATATGTCGAGTTTTTAATGAATAATTTCGGCCTTTATATAAAAAACAAATCAAAAAAATTATGATCACAAAAGAGCCAACGCCTTGAGTTAATCAAACCGTAATTCACAGCGTAATATACGTTTCACATTGAAATCCATGTGATTTAAAAATTGATGATGGCATTTCGTTGCACTCAAACATTCGTTTCAGATATGAATGATATTGGACGATATCAAGTTCGCCAAATAACTATCTCTTTCCAAATTCTATGAGCGGGTTCAAATTAAGTTCAAAACTACACATACATAGCCTTAAAATGTTGAAACTAATGAGGCTTTCGAGAGCTAGTAATATTAATCATTCACCCTTTGCAAATCAATAGGAAAGCTAATTTTCAGACCGGTTTTTCTGGAAACTGAAAATACTTTTCAAAATATCTTGTTGAAATCACACTTTCAACTGAAAAGGTTTTTGGAATTTTGAGGTAGTCAACATCTTGCGAGAACAATCAGCCAACGACATCCTTTCCACTCACTTCGTGGAATGATCGGAACAAAAAGACTTTGATTATGCGATTTCAGTTTGGGCTAAAACTTCTTAGTAAAGATTGAGCCTTGATCAAATATTAGTTTACGAGTCTTCCTAACTATTTGTATTTTCGAAAAAATTTAAAAATTACTCCAAAGGAATGGCATGCAAAAATTAAGAAATTTTTATTGACTTCTTAAAGCTCGCTTCGCAACTTTTGGACTAAACTTAAAAGATTTGGACGCAATTTAGGCTCGTCGAAATAAAAATAATGTCCTTTTAAAAAACACGACCCTTTTACTAAAAAGAAGAACTAGAATATTATTCGGAACAAGTGAACTCAAATTAAGGAGATCATTCACTTGGTTAAGAGCAATACTTTTCAGCCAACTAGGTTTGAGCAAAGTACATGCACGCTTTACTGCTTGAAATTGCTATTTAATTTTAGGGGTAGACTGTTCAATTGGTCTATTGAGTGGGGAGATTGTTCACATGGGCCTATTATTCAAATTGGAAAGATTGGAAGTAGAGAGGAAATTCTTGACATAAAATAGGCTCTAAAGGCAAATAATTGACAAGGACGGTCGGCAAAAATTAACATTTTTTGCGGACCGACCCTAAAATGTTTAATGGTACCTTTGGTGCCAGTATCTACCAACTTTGAGTTGGGAGCGTACACCAAAAAAGAAAACCTTCCAAAAACCGCTCATAAACGTCTTTTTTGCCCGTTTTTTTGATAAATCTCATTCACAGAAATTCTTTTTCAAATTTTACAGGTTTCGGCCAGCTCAAAAAATCAATTTGGTTTTTTGAAAATCAGCTCTACTTCGAGATAATCCTAGATTCACCTCTGATTGAAGTTGAGAGTTTATTTCTTTTGGCTATTAAGATTTTGCTTCTACTCTTCGGCAGCTTCCGAAACAATTACTTTTAAGCGATGGCCTCAAATGCCTCGAACACTTTAATTTCTTTTCATAAAATCCATTTTTAAGTAGTATTCAGTTGATTGTCTAGACTAGAGCAGAACTGCCTATTAATTGTTCAATGAATCACAACTCAAGCAGCCTAAATAGAAAAACAGATCGAGAACACTTATGACTTTTCTGTAGAAACCACGATCATCATAATGAGTGAAAAATCAAAAATAACTTCGCTTATTAGCACTTTACTATAAATCACTCGATATCTCATCTGGGGCGCAGGAACCTAGACGACAATCAAATTACACGATCAGAAAGTAACGGAACTTAGACGATAAATTGCGTGTAAATTGCCTGAAATTTGTTAAGACTTAAATTAACTTTTGTTTGAGTAAATACTGTTTGTTCAATCGCAAATCAGGTTATTAATGTCACAGTTGTATAATTAATGCAATTCAACATGTACTACACTTTTTCGATTCAATGATTTATTGTTTTATTACAATAATAATTTTGATCAGTTCTGTGATAAAATAAATACTCTTTTTGTTTTCGTGCAACTTCATTCTAAACAAAAAATGTTCTTGGCCCAGTCCTTATCGTCTAAATTCACAAAAAATTAGCGTCTAAAATCAGTTTTTTACGGCCGTATAATTTGATTGTTCTCGAATTCCCTAGGCCCAATCTCATCTACTACGCTTGATAAAGATCACCTCATTTTGCGGGGAACAGGCTGAGCCTAAGTGCCTTCTCACATCGTGAATCGTCGCAACAACAAAGAGAACCCAAAAGCAAAAAGAGTATATTATCACAGATCCGATCAAAATTAATAAAATAACTTTAAAAAGAGGCAAAGCTGAGCTTCGCAGGACTAGCAAAACAAAATCAAATGAATGACTATGATTGAAATCAAACGGAAAAAATCAATCGAACATAAACTTCAAAATCGTTTTTGTCAATTCAAAATAAACTTCAAAAATTGCTACATATCCGAAAAAAAAAATAGCTGAACCATTAAAAAATATACAAGGATCTGTCGGATGCCAAACATTCAAAAAAGTAAAGTCTTTTCAACGGAATTACGTAGACAAAAATCAGCAGACAAATAATATTTTAATTTAGCCAAAAATTTTCAGTTTGCAAAACAAACAGCTCTAGGCAGGAATCGAACTCCTGGGCTTCGTGATCTCAAGCATGAGAGTTTCAGCAACTTTGAACAAAGCTGAACCTTCGAAAAAAAGTCGGGCTACGGGAAATACGCCGACAAAAATAAACAGACGGACGACAGTCAGAAAAACCTCTTGTTAACAAAAAAAACAGGTACGGGCCGGATTCGAACCACAAGCCTTTGCCGTCTCAAGCAGTTCTTTCTCCACAACGCCAGACGGTTGATTGAATTTAAAATTATCAAGCGATAACAAAGCCGAAAAAACCTGAGCAGAAACCCTTCAAGACGAAAAAACACAAACTAATAGAACAATTTCAAGTCCTTTCCCCTCAGAAAACACACACGCACACAAAAAAATTACGGACCGCAAAGGGAAGTCACTATTTTGATCTAAAAAGCGAAACCGATTCAGCCGAAACAGACGAAATTTAAACATAGCACAAATGACAGTTGGAAAAGAGTAATGAACGCAAGGAAACTGAAATAAAAACTGACTTGTTTTTTTTCCAATAAATCTTCGTGTTTTGAACTTCGAAGAAACCAATAGACGGTCTTAAAACTCTTTGAATTTGTAACACAATTTATGATAGACACTTTTTTGTTAAAATTAACCCGATTTGAGAAAACTGGATCAATAGGTAAATTTTATTTCACTAGGAAATCAGATAATTAATTTCCAATTTCAAAATTAGAAGTCGATCACGAGTTTCGTGACCTTTTCATTTTTGCTGTTCGATAAAGGAGTTTGCCTTCCTTTTAACAATGGAAATGCACTGAACTCAAATGCAAAAAAAATCAAAATTGAGCGTGAACAATTTTAAGACTTTTTCCTGAGAAAAAAATTAGCAAGACCTACAAAAAAGAGTACTCACTCCGTTCATTACTCTTAAAAACAAAAATTTAACAAATCGAATTGGTGTAATCACAGTCGATGTAAAATCAAATGTAAAAAAGCTAATAAACTAAATACAATGAAAATCGCTTACAGCAAAAATAAATCAATTCTTAGATGTGGCAACAAAACTGACAAAACATAAGCAGACAAACATTAGGCCGACAATTTTGAAACAGAAAATTTCCGTTAGAAAAAAACAGGTCCTCGTCAGATTCGAACCCAGGCGTATTCCTTACCTCTAGGCAAGAGACACTAAGAAACTTGATTTCACTATCAACCAAGGTACCAACGGAGTCCATATAAAACCTATGAACAAAGTTATTTACGGTAAAAAAAAGTCTAGTACCCGTTTGCTATACACTTGCTTCTTGCAAGGGTATTAATAAAAGTTTAAAATAAAAAATTATAGTACATTTTTGAAACAACTGTGACATTCATAACCTGATTTGCGGTTGGACAAACAGTGTGTACTCACCCAAAAGTTAATTTAAGCTGTAAAAAATTTTCACGCAATTTTCACGGAAGTTATTGCCTAATTTCCGTTACTTTTGGATTAATTCGTTACAGGGGGGGGGGGGATTCGCTACTAGGTACCATTGGGGGATAGTTAAAGAGATCCTTAAAAAGTGTGTTGTTTCCAGCATAATACATGCTTAGTATAGCTCAAATACTGGCACACCCTTTAGCTGGAGGTTAAGACATAAGCAGCCAAACCTCATTATATAGGGCGCTGGCTGTCGCTTACTGTAATAACAGCAGATGATTACTAGGCCCGATTAAATGTTCACTTGAAAATTAAAACCTAACAGACGAAATATTAAAACTGAACTACAAAAGAAAATTTTAACACGCAGACAAATCAGGATCAAACACATGAGTTTAACTTAAGCTGCAGAAAAATTAATAAAGTCGCTTTTATTTGTCCCTAATTAATACTTTTTAATCCAAAAACAATCCAAAGCACTATGCAGCTGGTACTCAAAGAACAAAAAGAGCATTTAAAGGCAAGAAAAAATGAACATTTATTTATGCGTATCTGAAAAAGAGCTTATTTAACTATACAATGTAAACCTTATTTATTCAAATCTTTGGAAACAAGAGCCGTAAAGAGGCATTCTTCTAAGTGACAGCAGAAATATTTTGTGATATTTAATGGAAATTTAGAGAATAATTTCAATATTAATTCTCATTTAGCACCCCAGTCACTGTCAAATAGGGAATGGGTGAAATATTTGAGCGAGAAATTTTCCGGAGAAATTTGGGAAAAGAACAGTCGGGGATATAAATTCAATAAATTCAGTCAAGGTGAAATTTGGACAAACAATCGCAAATTTATTGAAGCGTTCTTTAATTGACTAAATGGATAAGTGAACAAATTATTAAATCCACGATGATCTTTTTGTGCGAAAGTTATTGCATCGCGACAACAAGGCGAGTATTCTCACTCTGCGGCAGAAAATAAATCAAACCCAAGTATCCCTGCGATTATCATCCCAATAATTCACGGATGAGGGAGCCATAAATTGAATATTATATTTTATTCATTTAAAACTCATCCAAAAAACAACAACAATAAGCCACTTCTCATTTCATCAAATTGCAAAATCCAAACCAAGTTGTGCCCAAAAATTATTCAACAAATATCCAAAACACAACAGTAGTCAATCCAGAAACTATTGAAACGTATTCTGCAACCAAAAATGTCCGATTCGCAGAATCTTCTTGAAGATTCGGCTCTCGATCTGAGCAGAAGCCGAGCCTCTGATCTATCAATGCAGCTAAATGTCGGCACTCGTCAAAGCGAGCTCACAAAAACTGAGACGAAAACCGAACCAGATGCTAAACACGACAGAGAAAAATATGCAACACAAACGGAAGACGATTTTTATGTGGGAATTTCGAACTTCGAGGCAAGAAACCCTCACTGGGAGCTGAATGTGCGTATTGGAGATGTTTTCAAGAGACTGCGACACAACTCAGTGATACCGAAGCACTCTGAAAACAACTTCATACTCGTACAAACTGTAAGTAAAGCTCCTGTTTTTTAACGAACAAAGTAAATTGTGATAAAACTGAACAAAAAATCGAAATCTTTCATAACTCGCACAAAACTAAACTTAAGACTACAGTATCAACCAATATACAGCCAATAAACTCCAAATATGAATCCTTTTTACAAAAAGGAAGAAGAGTAAGAAAGAAAAAATCGGCTTTTTCTTCATTTCAGAGAGCAAACTTTGAGTTCCATATTTGAGCAGCTTAAATTAATTCTCTCTTTTCAAGGCCAGTAAACAACTGTTGAAGAAAACTGAAGGATGAGAGGCTTGATGATTCTTATTTATCTTGGCACAACTATTTCAGGTGCAAAGTAGAAACTTCGCAAAGAGAAACTCTCCCGAGAAAATAGCTTACGTTCCAAGAGAAGTTTTGGTCAAGGTGCCTCTGCCCGGAAAAGATACGAACATAAAACCAACCAAGAAAAAAATGAAAGCAGACGATGAACTCGCAGAAAGCAAAGCAATAAATGCAGGCCTGATACCAGAAACGACAATTTCAGGTACCTAATTATTCAACACCAAGAAATACTGGTTTCTTAAAATATCTTTTGGAATCTTTGGATTACGAGAAAAAGGATACCGGTGAACAAACAATTGTAACAAACTGGAGTTGCTCTCAAGTATAAAACTCGTATCCTTCAATTGATTAGTCCTATTTGTAAAAACAACATCTGTTTTTAAGTACCATAGGAGAAAAATTATTAGAGTTCTGACAGTTGTTCAAAAAATGAAAGTTTGACTATAGTTTTTATATTATCGCCCTGTAAATTGTCTTTGAAAACAAAAACTGTTTCAGACATTCTCTCAGACTTCCTGCCCGACCATCGAAAAATTTGTGCGCAAAACAAAAAAGCACACGAAATTGCCTCCAAACTGAATCAAGTTGCTTCTGCTGATATTCAAAGCAATACCAACTACATGACAAACTCTAGACACCATTTGCCCATAATAGCATCGTCGCTTTCGTTGAGCGCACCTCCTTTCACCGCGTCGACTATACACCAGCAGCTAATGAACGAACACTTGATGCCTCCAGGAGTCAAAATCTCCCAAATGCAGAACAACGCATCAGTTCCCTTCCTTGTAAACTGGATGAAGAACTTTCCCCAGTTCCAAGCTATGGCAGCTGCAGCAGTCATGCACAGATACAACTTAATCCAGCGGCAACAAGCATCTAACGAGTTCCTTCCAGACAATACTTCGGTTCCTTTTCCTACTCCGACGGCTGAAAATTTGACTAATACCTTTCGTCCGTGGCAGGACGTGAACAACTTTACGCAACCGAACGATCAGGTTCCAAGGGATCAATCAGTGTATGACACTAAGAACAAAGAAGGTCAGTAAATAAATCCATAATTAATAAATTATGACGGGCAACAATTTGTTAGAAACTGATGCATATGGAAATAATGAACCCTGGTAAACCCTTAAATTTATCTCTGAAACAATTTATTAAGATACTTTTTGGATAAAAAACGTTGTATCTATTCACGTGACATGGATTTACTTTGTAAGAACAGACGCAATGGAAAAAAAATCTCAATTGTTTACCTCTTTAGATAGTCACAATGCTATGAAATGCGGACTGGTCCAACCTTGCTCGGTCGAGTCGAAGATGGAGTGGAGCAACAAGATGATCTTGGCGGGCGGAGGAGAAGGAGTCGATCAGAGGAGTCAGCTGAAGAAACACGGGCGCGGGAGGCCACCTTACAGGAGTGTAGAGGTGGGTTTTACAGTCTTTTACAGCCAATGATTCCTAGTGACCAAATGGTCAGTTGTTTTATTTTCCAGTTGAGGGAGAAGCCGTTGTTTTCTTCTAGTTGTTCCGACTTTCGATACGAAAGTAACGGAATATTTGTGCTCGGGGTGGGTTTTTTTTCTTCGGACAAATTTCGACTTTTTAACTAGCCATTTTTGATGGAATTTTTTTATATCACTCGAAAGGTATTGCTGTCTTGAGTTTAAATTTGAAAAGATATTTCATCTGTGATTATTTTTCGTAAAGTTATGGGGGTTTAAAAATTGGCATTTTGGCCAATTTGGGACAATTAACGCGCGATATATTTCGCGCTATTAACGCGTAAGCGGAGAGTTAATCCGTCTTAGAAATCGTTCCAAATTGGTTGAAAGAAGCTTATTTGCCGTAATTATTTTGTTACAAGGAGCGAAATCTATCCTTTTGTACTTTATATGGCGTGTGCGGGAATGATTTTCACTAAAAAAATTCGATTTAAAAAAAAAAATTCATTTTGTTTTTTTCACATTTAACTTTTTAATGTTATTACTGCCCCCATAAACCTTAAAAGGCAGTCGGAACTTTCAGGGCTTCGCCCTGATACGAGCAGTCTTGTATAATTATCTGATTCACTCACGTCGGGTGAAAACCACAAAAATATCCAACAGACAGTTGGAAAAGAGTCAATAAACGCAGTTCAACAGAAAAAAAACTGACTTGTTTTTTGAAAATCTCAAATTTTGAACTTCAAGGAAAAAATAGACGCCCTTAGGGCTCTTTGAATTTCTAGATCAATTTATGACTGGCCTTTTTTTGAAAAAATTATCCCAATTAGGTAAAATCTTTGTTTCGCTGGGAAATCTGATAATAAAATTCCATTTTCGAAATTGATATTAAATTCCATTTTCGAAATTAGAAGTCGAGCTCGTTTTTCGTGACCTTTACATTTTTCCGGTTCAAAAGTGGTATTTGCCTTCCTTTCAACAACGGAAATGCACTGAACTTAAGATATCACAAGTCAAAATATGAAAAATCAAAATTGAGCGTGAACAAACTTTTAGACTTTTGCCTGAAAAAAAAAACAAAAAAGTTGATTTCACGTGGTTTTATTTGACACTACATGCAAACAAACTCCCTTTTTTGTAATTTCCTGAAAGAGCATTCAACGAAAATAAACAAATATATTTTAAATAAATTGTAACAAGACTGCTCGTATCAGGGCGAAGCCCTGAATGTTCCGACTGTCTTTTAAGGTTTTTTAGAGCAGTCATAGAATAAAATGAAAATTTTTTTTTCTTAAGTTTGAAATTTTTTATTCGAATCATCCCCCCACACGCCATATAAAGTACAACAGGATAGATTTCGCTCCTTGTAACAAATCAATTACGACAACTAAGCTTCTTTCAACAAATTCGGAACGATTTTTAAGACGGATTAAATCTCCGCTTACGCGTTAAAAGAGCGAAATATATCACGCGTAAAATGTCCCAAACGGCAATAATTAAACCCCCATAACTTTACGAAAAATGATAACAGGTGAATTATCTTTTCAAATTTAAGCTCAGGACAACATACCTTTTGAATGATATAAAAAAATTCGGTCAAAAATGGCTAGTTAAAAAGTCGAAATTTGTCTGAAGAAAAAACAACCCACCCCGAGCACAAATATTCCGTTACTTTCGTATCGAAAGTCGGAACAAAAGCTGTTGTGTTGCAGCTTGTGGTTGGCATGGGCGTGTTCGAACATGGTCGATTCAAGAAGTTGACAGTGAGGAACAAGAGTGGGATAGGGGGCAAGGAGGCGATAGTGGTGAGGTGTGCGGCAGAGGCCACTGAGATAGAGACTGCCGCAGTGCACAGACACAAGTTCAACAACAAACTCATACACAGTAAGTAAAACACTCACATACACAGACATAAACACATGCAATCACAGAAAAACATGGTCCATACATTCGTATGAAAAGTTGGATTGAATGGATCTACTTAAAAATCTTAAGTAGATTACTTGCAGCAAATTTTCGACCAATCAGAATGCAGCGAAATTCGACTTTACATGCAGCGCTCTAATGCGAATTTACTGTTTATATTTACAAGGGTTGAGATTCTTTAGTAGATACAATAGGGGGGAGATTGTTAAGTAGATCCGATTGAATTTCTAACCACTTTAGTTCGGACTCAGGTGCAAAAAGTCATCTTTCACTTTCACGAAGTCATTAAAAATTATTAAAAGTTACAGGCTTTTGAAATAATTCTGACCATCAAGCTTCAGCTAAATCGAAATAGTTATTTAAAGCATCGATTTTGCCTTTTTTCGGCGTTTTTAGTTTAATGTTTTTTAAAGCCATGGGGGGGGGTGTTAACTTGGTGTTCTAAGTTGGGATTTTTCAGCCAGTCAGAATCGAGCATATTACATGCAGCGCTCAGCAAATTTAAGTTAAGCGCTGGTGTGGAGGATCTTAACTTGGTCTATTTGGGGGGGAGGATGTTAACTTGATCCTTAAAAAATTTCATGGAAGATCATTGTTGGATGAAAAAACGTTTTCAAAATGAGTCCTGAAATGAGGCAAAAAGGACGTCTCTAAAAAGCGCAATCCTGTTGCCTTGCTCTCTTGACAAATCAAATGCAATTTCAACGCCATTTCACTTTCTCAAGATCAGAATTAATTCAGAATTTTAGGACGTCGTCCAGCAAATTTGTTAAAAACTATACCATATATATCAGTAAGTCACTGCAGAGTGCTCGAGCTGCATAATAGACCTACAAGAATTCACGAGAAACTTTGGGAAAAGACGCTAAAAATGCTTACTTTATTGTCAACAAATGGTCGCTTAAAATCCTTTTGCTTTAGATGTTGATTTCACACTCGTGTACCCAGATGGAAGTCCAGTGAGATACCTGCCAGGCACCCGAGAGCCCTTCACTCTGAAGACTTACAAGGAGATGAGGAACGACTCCTGGATCAGACTACGACTATTCCTCTGTCCCACCAAACAGTTGCTGGTAGCACAACAGCAACAACAACTGAATGCTAAAAAGGCCACTGACAAGTCAACGAACATTTGCTACATGGACTCAAAACAAGCGAGTGACAATCATATACCAAGATCCAATGAAAGATCCCAGGAAGATTCGGAACCAATGGACTCAGCAAATAATGAACAAGAGTGCCCTAGCGTAATTGACCTCTGAAATAACTGGACATGATTCCAGAACTGAATAAATAGAAGACTGTTTTTAAAACAAAACTAAAATTGTACAGTCCTTTGCAGATCCTTCAATATTATTATTATGCTATAGTTTCCACAAAATCGATATTTAAGCAATCCAAAAGAGCAGTCGTTGGAAATAGAAGTACAGAACGATTTGAGTACAAACTTAAGGTTGGATATCAATGTTTTTTTTTTTTAATTTCATATCTTTTCGTAAGTCACGGCCCCCAAATCTACAGAAAGCTATCCGACCTATAAATCTAAATGACAAAAGTACTATTTTTTCCAACCAAGCGTGGAAAAGCTTCATACTTTGGTGTATGGTGTTGTTTCTTTCATATCAGAGGCAAAGCTGAGCTTCGCACCATTTATTATACAAAAGATATTCTGACTTGATAATGCTTGCTTATTGCTAGCTAATAAAGGCCAGGAAAGGCGGAGATATAGATCAAATTAAACTCCTTTCAGTCGTGACTAAATCCTCATTTCAAAATAAATCCAGAAAAAAATGGTCAAGCAAAAGGCGTTTGAAACTCGCATTTGTTTAGATAAAAAAAATTCTGTAACTCCCTGGACAGAAAAAATGACTAACCTGAAACATATCAAAAGCCGGCAATGCTTGTTCAGCAAAACAAGTAGATTGAATAAGTACATAGAGGCGAAGCGGAGCTTCGCATCATCACTTGCGATACAAAAACGTATGAATATGATTACCAGCAAATGAAAAGACGAATCAAAAATTGAAAAAAACTTCAAAAAATCTCTTTTTTGGTCAAAAAAGTTATAAAAATTGCAAAAAAAGACAAAAAAATCCTGAAACAAAACTATCTGCACCATAAGAAATTTAACTAAGAGCCTTCAAAATGCTGAACTTTCAGTTGGACAATTTCTGCTGGACCGACAAAAATTAGCAGACATGAAAGTCTAGAATATTTGAAAACTTTCAGTTTCGACAAAAAACAGGTACCGACTGAAATTGAACTTCTGGGGTGTTAACATTGCACTATAAGTACAGAATACTCCTTAAATTTCTAAAGCAAACAACTTCAAGAATCTTTTAATGAACAGCATCAAGAAAAACCAAAAAAAAATAGCAGAAAAAAATAGGCAAAACTTCTTGAACTCAATACTTGCTAAAACCGGAATATATTGAAATGTTTTTTAATTCGATTACAAAATGCCCAAAGTTGAGGCAATTTTGGTGCTCCGGTAATTAAGCCGACAAAAGCAGAAAAACAGGAGCCCGACACACTTTTAACGCGCGGATAATTTTAGGTGATTTTTGCAATAATTTTCGGTGATTTTTGCGGGATAACGCCCGCAAAAATCACCTAACAGACTATAACTTATTTTCAAATTAATTTACAACCAATGCTTTAGAATTCTAGAACATCTAGTTTTCAACCAAGCAGAAATGATTTTGTAGTTTTATCAATAACTATATAATGTACAGGGTTAGATTTTGACCCATGATTGATGAACATTTCTAAAAAGATCATCTGCCAGGATAAAAACTAGAAGGTTGTTTTTCACTAGTTGTAAAGCTAGTCGACCATAATTTTTCAGAGTTGATCTTGTTATGGAAACATTCGCGTGAACACAAACATATACAATTTTTGGAGTAAAAGTTGTTCTTCGGAAAGCTGATGAATTTGGATGGTTCATTATACTGCGTAATAAAAACTGTAAAACTCGGCGATGAAAAACGAAGACGACTAGTTGAGAAGTTTCAATGTCCTCGCCGCTAATGCCAGACAAGAGAAAAAGAAAGTTGAGCCAACAATTGTTCAGTGACTTTGTGCATAAGTCGGGCCAATTGGATTTTTGGTTAATTGCGGAAAAATCTTTTTCAAAGATTTAATTCAATTGTCAGCGTAGAATTGTTCTGAAACAATTAGCATGAAGTTCATCTCGTGTTAGTATTTTTGTTCATTTGTTTTATCTATTGTTTTGTTACACGCAGGTAAAAGGAGCAAAAAGGAGCTTCGAAAAAAAAAACAATTTCACGTACATAAATTCAATTTCCATGTGTTGTTTCCGAGGATGTCTCCATAACAAGAAAACCTCAGAATCTAGTTGTAATCGCCCAGCTAATAAACTCCTCAAAAACATTCAAATTTTTATGCAGTCAGATCTCTTCAACTAATTTCATCAGCAATAAGTCACAAACACACGCCTGTTAATGAGAAAACGAGAAGAACAATTTCATTCATTTGCTCGGTTGCAATAACTTGACTGCAACCAATTTTTCGAACGAAATATGTGCATTTTGATTTTTAATAGAGTGAATCACTGACTAAAGTTTTGAACCTGATAACTCTACTTTTCATTTTTCTTAGCGGGTCTCTCATCAGGGTTTGCGATCAAAAATTATCAATTTTACCACAAATAACTGTTCGTTCCAAAAGTGACAGCAGAAACAAGTTTCGAAAACCTAGAAAAACATCATACAAAAAATGGAAACAAAAAATCATCCCAATATAGAGGCTATATATACTTACAGTAAAACGCAATTCATGGCGAGTCTAAATGTGTGAAGAACTTACTGATTAAGACTTTTGATTTGGAAAGAATATTTAACATATACAGTCAAACCGAAAAATTTTTTCAAAAAACGCTCGTTTTTCGTGACCTTTACGCTTTCGCTGTTCGATAAAGGAGTTTGCCTTCCTTTTAACAACAAAAATGAACTGGCTTAAAAGAAATCAAAAGTCAAACCGCGAAAAATCAAATTTGAACGTTAACAAATTTTAAGATTTTTCCTGAAAGAAACAGACGAAAAATCATCACGAGCTATATAAGTGTTTACTGCGCTCATTGATTCTTAGCAACGTAAGTCACAAAAACGTTCAAAAAATGTTCAAATAGAGATCTCACAAAAAACAATATTACGATTAGCCTCGCATGAACAATATTTTTAAAAATGTCAAGAAACAATTGTCAGCAAAGGCATGGGAAATTAAGAAACACAATAGCATGGTAAAATTGAGGACGCGGTAACTAAGCCGACAATATAAGGGCAGATGCTCATTGAGCCGAAAAAGTTTTTATAAAAAATTGAGCAACAAACAATTCGAATGAAAATCTAATTGAATTAAAACCTTATCTCATGATGAAAATAACATTTATCCCTTCAAATCACGCAATATGTAATCTTTTTAGTCGAATAAACTTTTCAAGTGAAAAAATTTCGAAAATTTTCGACTAGTGGTTATATAAATTTCAAACATGCCCAAATTAGGTCTGATGGTGAGAAAGTCTATTCAGCTGGGAGTTGTTCACAAGTTATTCAAAAGAAAAAGTATGCTCTTCATTTGCATTACAGTAACCATTTGCCGCGTTGACCTTCAGTTTTGATTGGTCAATCGCTTCACCCACTTGAATCTCATGTGTTTATAAAAATCTAAAATAGCCTTTGATGTAACCAAGTACTCGGAACCAGTCCGATAGCAAATTGTTCAATTGACATACACATACAGGAACGCAAAAATTATGCGTAAATATCACGCTCTACGGTTTGCAATCGTTATCTGCAACTTTTGAAAAATGGAAAAAATTGTCTTCGTATCTCAACAGAAAAAAGGTGCGAAATTAATATGTCGAAACATACTCTAAATATTAAAATATTATACAACTTTATAAAAATTAAAACACAGAGGCGAAGCTCAGCTTCGCACCAATAGCGATACCAAGCAAGCGCAGCAATGCAAGCTAGCGAATAGAAAATAAGATTTATAAAAAAGAAAAAAATGAAGATAATTTAAGATAAACACAACCCCCAGAATCAAATAAGTTTTCAGTATTTACAGATCGGCACCTAAGGCAACAACAAGTGGGCAGACGCCCATTGAGCCAAGAACAAAAAAAAATCTGAAAAGAAATAGTTGTCATAAAAAAATTTCGAGCAATTAAGTTTCAAACTTTAAACCTTGCAGCAGAAACTACGCCCAATTTTTCCAAAAAAAATAAATCATTTTTTGCCTTTGTAGCGACACAAAATAGAGTAACTCAGCCAATAAAAAAATAGGCTGAAACCATTTAGGCAGAATAAATTTTGAGCAAAAAAAGAGGAAAATATACAACGAAGGGGTATTAATTTTACTAATTAGAGAAGTAAACCAAAAACACCTGCATCTAAGATCAAAATTGCTTACAGCACAATAAAATTCCCCGATGTGGCAACTAAGCCGACAAAGCAAAAGCAAACAAACGAAAATATGACTATTCAAGAATAAAATTTTTCAGTTTCATACATATTGAAAATGTTCCGCGACTCGAACACGGCCTCAGGATACAAAGGCATCGGCGTTACCTCCAGGCCAATTGGGAAAAGATCCCGAAGTTACAATGCAAAGGCATCGGCGTTGCCTCACGACCAAGTTGCAAAAGGTCCCGAAGTTTCTTTCGTTTCTATCTATGAACGCAACCGGGAACCTCAATTCAAAAAAAAATTGTATAACTTCTTATCAAATTACTTTTCATTTGCAGCGTCTTGCTGAAATGGTAAAACGGTAGTTAAAACACTAGGACAATAAAAGATTTGATTAAAATTCAATTTTCAAAAACTTTCACTATGAATACAATTGTCAAAACTGAATAACTTTTAATACTCCTTAAACTCAGCATTTAAAAATTATTGCACGTGAAAATATGGTGTAATCCAATTCAAATTTTACACACCACTTGCGATACAACAAGTATAAGACTAAAAAACCAAGACTCAAGAACTATCAAAGAGGACTTCGTAAGTTGCAGCTGTAAAAGAAACAAAAAAACATAGCCAACTGACAGCGAGAAAACTGCAAAACGCGAGAAAACTGAAAAACCTTTTTTTTCTTCAAAATTTTCAACTTTTGAATTTGGAAGAAAAAAAAATAGATCGCCTTAAAGCTCCTTGAATTTGTAGAAAAATTTATGATGGACAGTTTTCTGTTAAAGTAACCCAATTTGAGAAAAACTGAATCAATAGGCAAAACTTTTATTTCGCTGGGAAATCTGATAATTAATTTCCATTTTCGAAATTAGAAGCCGATCACGTTTTTAGTTACCTTTACAGATTTTTTGTTCGATAGTGGAGTTTGTCTTGCTTTTAACAACGGAAATGCACTGAACTTGAAAAAAAAATCACAAGTCAAGCCACGAAAAATCAAAATTGAGCGTGAACAAATTTTAAGACCTTTGCCTGAAAAAAAACCAGCAAAACCTATATAAGAGTACTCACTAAGTTCGTTACTCTTAAAAATGAAAATAACTTTTTTAACGTTAAATTTATTAAACTTTTCTTAAAGAAATCCAAGTAGTGTTGAATTTGAGCATTCAAAATTTAAATTTGGGGCCACAGTCAAAACGATCTCATAAATATTATCGGAAATAAGTAGGAAACAAAATATTAGGTAAATAAACCGACATAATTAAATCCTACAGCCAATTAGCTGAAAATCAGCCAAAATTGTTCGGCAACATTTTATTGGCAAATATACACACGAAAACCATATACGTACTGAAATCAAGGTGGTTTTATACAATTCTTTAGGGTTCTTTTCATGCTCATATTTAATTCTAGACAATCCGCCAGGTCATTGCTGTTTATATCTAAGGCGCTCTAGCAGCGCGCATATTGACTGACGTTTAATCAAAGATTTTCTTTGTTAAAGCTTTAATGTTAAGCGACATTATGGTTGTGTTCTCTCTCAAGAAAGCTTCACTTCTATTCTAATAACTGATCAACAATCAAATTTATCAGCTGTATATACAAGCAACGAACAAAAACATATATTGCGAAGAGCACAGATCATATAAGTCCATCAGAGAAAAAACTAAGAAACTGGACATTTAGCTTTTGCTTTAGAAAATTAGACTGCAATTACCTAAAAGCAAAATCCGAATACTAGTTTGACCTACATGTTGCGGAAAAGTTGTTGATATTGAAATATATCGTGCATAATTGTTTTGACCTAACGTCGGATCACTTGACGAAAAGTTTAAAGGTGACAGCAGTTTTATTTCAAACTAAACATCAAAGTATCAAAGGCAATTCAACATCAAGAGAGTATTAATGTTAATGTACAATCAAACAACGCACAGCTGATAAGATGTATAAATATGGCAACAGAAGGTCTTTTTTTTCTCTCATGGAACCAAACAAACAAATTTGAGTAGTATCCGGGCAACGGACAAAATCCGAGCCAGATCCGAACTCGGTTGATCTTCTATCACGCGCCCTCGTCTGCTTCCCCATCTTCTTCGTTCTCGTCCTAAATTCGCAGTATGTTAAATATTGTATTCATAACTCCCGCCAAAGTGTTCAATGACAAATTATGACTGTCAGCTGAGTTTACTGTGAGTACATCAATTGGGGCCATCATCGTTTATTCCAACTCAAAAACTAACAATTTGAGGCGAAACACCACTAAAATTGGCACTTGAAATTTTAAATGCTAAAAAGATTTGAGCAGTAATAATTAAAGGCCACAACTGCAACCCCTGGGAGTAACTTGACATCATCCCGCCATAGAGTCGAGACTTTGAGAAGTGTTTGTTAAGTTTTCAAAAACATTTGACGCTTTAAACAAAGACAATCGAGATTGGAAAAGAGTAATGAACGCAAGTAAAAAAAATGACTTTCTTGAAAAAATCTCAAACGAATTTCAAGAAAAAAAATAGAATTTCAGAAAAAAATAGATGCCCTTTAAGCTATTTGATTTTCTAGAACATTTTATGAGTGGCACTTTTTGGATAACATGAACACAAATAGAGAAAAATGGATCAATAGGAAAAGTTTTTATTCCGCTGGAAATCTAAAAACTAAATTCCACTTTCGAAACTAGAAATCATTCACGTTTTTTGCGCCATTTCCACGTTCGTATTTGGAGACTGCTATTTACGTCACTTTCAGCAGATGAATTTCAATTGAATTTAAAAATTGCATATACATCTAAATACAATCATAAATGCTACAATATGAATGAATGCACATCTGAAGTTATTAGAGACTTTAAAAAAAACTCAGCAAGACCTATATAAGAGACTTCACTGCGTGCATTACTCTTGAAAACGTCATGTCTTGAGATCTTCAAAAATGAGCAATGATATTTGGATGGAGGACATGTCCCCTTTTTTGTAGGAACAACAAAAACGCGTAAGAAAAAAACTATCGCTAAAATAACGTGCTCTTCACAAACACTGGCGAGAACACGACAAAAACAGCAGCTCTATGATGTCGAATCAGAAAAAGTAGAAATTAGCCTAGATTTAGTTAAAATTCGGCTACGCTTTGGACTCGATCCGCGAACTAGGTATTACACAGAGACAAAGTTGCATTTCGCATACACAAGCTAAAGTATGACCGAAAACGCTACTGGGAAAAACTGAATGAGTAAAACTATGAGTCTAAAAAGTTTGTTAAGTGACGCACGCCCATTATGAGTCTACATAATTGCGAATTGACGCAGGCCACTTATGGCGCTTTAGCTGTAGCAGTCAATTGGTAAAAAAATTACCAATTAAAATGCCTCAATTTATAGAGCGGACGCATTTAAACAAGTATATGAAAAAATTCATTAAAAAACACCCGACCCTGCCCAAGTTCACGCCCTCTTATTTTGTTGCCGGTCTCCTTCCCTATCTCTACGCTACAGATCCATGATACCTTGAACCTAAAGTGCTAGTGCTATTTGTAATATAGTACTCTCTGTTAATATCCTTTGCTCTGGCTGTACTTAATAGCTGGTTACTGATCAAAATGAACACTAATAATTGCGACTTAGGTTGGAAAAAAAGAGAGTTCATACTATCACAAAGGCTTTGCTTGTTTAATTAGTCTTAGGGACTAACTACTCACCCTTGGACGCTTAATAAATCACAAACACCGGCCACAAATAAAGCCGAGGACAGGTGCTAAAAATTTCCAATACTACAGATCGCGATTTTAGCCAAAGTTTCACCAAATAAATGAACTTTTTTATGCAATTTAGGTAGCTAAAAAGAAAATCTGTACAAATACACCAGGCTCTCAAGCTCGCGAGGTAATTATCAGAAGAATTGAATAGTGTTATCAAAATTTAGTTCAGTGTCATCAAGTTTTGTAAATACCGCTAAAGTTTCAGAAAATCAGAATTTTTTTCGCAAGCACAAAAAACTCGGAAAATTATGCGCTACTTACACAGCAATCGCCTATTCTGGATAATGTGACCCCCACCCAGGAGTAGGAAGAAACTATGGCGTAGGGTGAGTTTTTTTCTTGCCGATTGACTACAAAACCGAAAAAGTAGTCTCGAGAAAAAAAACTTTTTTCGAGAAAAAAAAGACGATATGTTACAAAAGGTGGTAAATTTGAGTAAACTCCATGCATTAAAATTGAGAACTATAATGCAAAATATAGCCTTTTCAGTTTCAATCAATTGTACTACTAAGGTATTTTTGTAAACCAATTAGTCTGCCATATCATATGCTATTCAAAAATTCAAATTTTACCATTCTTTTGTCAAAAAATTTGGCTTTTGAAATAAAATATTAATAATGTGCGAAGTATAACAAAAAGAGATCCAGCTATTCAAATTGAACCTACCATCTATTGTAATAAATCATCAAAAAAAGTTCTGAACTTTCCGATTTTCCTCCAAAATTCACAAAATTTGATGGCAATCAATTTAATTCTTCTGTTATTTTACGTTATTTTAGCTATAATTTTCTCATGTTTTACAATGTTTTTTCCAACTTAATCGCCTTTTACAAAAACATCAATAATGAACTAGCAGAAAAAAAAATAGAAAAATGTTGACAACTTAAGTCATGATGATCGGAACATAGTGCTTGTTGAACTTGGTACAGTATAGTTTACCTCGTCGTCGAAATCTTCTTCGTCGTCATCTTCGTCTACGGGATGGGCGAGGTAATAATTGAGTGGGTTGGGCCAGAGGTCCTCTTTGATGAATTCGCCCAGATCCAGACCACAGTCGGAGTCCTCAGACAGGAGCCAGTTGAAGAAGGCAGCATCATCCGAGTCCACGTCGTCTTTTTCTGCCTTTTCCACAAAGTTCTTTCCTACATTGAAAATTACCCATTGAGCAAAACAGCATTATAAAAGCTCGATTAACTTTTTGAAATACATCTTGTCTCAAGTTAACATGTTCCTCCCTGAATTAACGAAGTAAAGGTTTTTTACCCCCACTATTTCTTTTAGGCTCAATTTGCATAAGGATACAAGAATACTCGATTCTTATCAGCTGAAAAATGTAAAACCAATACGCTCCTCTATACCGCTTTGGAGGGGTGGTGCTGGTGGTTTCTTAGAAGGTCAATCTCTTGTCCGGTCAAATCAAATAACATATTCTAGTTGCAAGAATTATCAAAAGATGACACGCGTAACTATGTGCTCACCTTGTTTCCACTGAATTTTCGTGCAAGTTGACGCGATCTTTCCTCCCTCTTTAACAGTGACAATTTTCTCGATCTTTTCGTTTGTGAAATAAGGATTCTTTTTTGCATCGAACTCTAACTCCATTTTATAGCCTGTTTTGATATCATCGTTCTCTGTGACAAAAATATTCAATAGATACTGAAGACATTCACTCTCATCGTCAATTATGCAAGGTCCGAGCTGAGGATGATTTGTTAGAACCCGGTGCCAGAAGCCCTAAACAGCTTACTTTCATTCATTATGCCTGAACGTTTCGTATTGAGGCGACTTAAACCATCTGCAAGTCTTTGCGAATATCAAAACCAACATCTGACCGGCAGTTTTACGTACAAAAAACACGAATTATCCAAAAATCTGCTGAAAGAATTGCAATCAAAAGCGAGAAAAAATTCAATGTCTTGTTTTGGCAGCCTTATCTAAAATTACTTTTCAAACTGCGAAGCGTTATTTAGCAGTAAAAACAGTTAGCGAGCTCGAAGCAAACGCTCATTCGCAAACGATTTGAAGAAAAAGAGCGGAGGTGAATGCAGAATTTCGTCCCTTGTCGTATTTTCGTCAAGCCTGATAAAATTTAATTGAAAAAATTCTAAAATTACAGAACATTATACTTATTTTGAATGGAGCCACCCGATAATGATGAAATTTCAAACGCAAAATTCATTTTTTTTCCGGAAGATTCAGTGTAGCGAGATTGAGATTGGCGAAAAGAGATCTAGCGCTTACCGAATATCTCATTAGCAATCACGCCTGATGCAAACCAAGTATTTCCATCTAAACCTTCAAAATTTGATAACCCCACGCGCGCCCGATAATTCAACAAGCTGCAGTTAGATTGATTCAAATTTCTCTATCAAAATGTTTCAAATTTTTTTGAAACTTCCTTATCTAATTTAGTTCATTTTGCTGAACATGGAACTTAACAAAACTCGAAAAAAAGCGTTTATCTTATACTTAATTGTAAGTCGTTTGCAATAGCTATAGGCGCCACGTTTAAATTTCAAGATAAAGCGAGCTTGGAAAGGTCAAGGTCGAATGTCTAGACAGATTTCTGGACAGGAAAATTTGAGCGGAGGGCAGCGCAAGTCACGAAGGGGCAGTACAGAGCAAGACAAGGTAGCGGAAGAAGAAGTAAGGCGGGGCAAGAAGGAGCATGACCGGGCAGCGCAAAGCAGAACAGCGTAAAACAAGGGAGGACAGCGCAAGGAAAAGCACAAAGAAAAGCAGCGCAGGGAAACGGAAGAAAGGGCAGGGAGTAGCATGGCAGCGCGAAGCAAGGCAGGGCCGCACGAAGCACGGGAGGGCAGCAAAAGGCGTGGCAAGGTAAGGCAGGGTAGCGGAGCTCAAGGCCGCATAGGAGCGCAACACAGGTCAAGGCAGCGCAACACAGGGCAAGGCAAGGCAGCGCAAAGCAGCCTAGGGAAGCAGAAGAAGGAGCAGGACCGGGACAGCGCAAATTTTGGACAATGTAGTGCAGGAAAGGCAGGGTAGCGCAAGAATAAGCGAAGCAGCGTAAGCCAGGTAATGACTATGTCGGGGAAACGCGAAGAAAGGCAGAGCATTGCAGCGGAAACAAGACAGAGCAAGGCAAGGCAGCTCAAAGCAATGCTGGGCAATGCCAGGCAGCTTAGGGCAGCCAACGCAAAGCATGGCAGTGCAGTGAAAGGAGGGACAAGGCAGGGTAGTGCAAGAAAAAGCAGGACAAATTTCAACTTAAGATGTCATTAAAGTCAAGTCCATTATAGTTTTTTCTCATTTTAGACCCCAGATAAAGCACCCCAACCCTCTGATATTTCAAACACATCGTATAACTGCTTTTGATTCTAAGCGGGAAAGGGGATTACATATGCGATAGAGGAGTTATAATAAATGAGCTGAGCTAAGCAACCAAAAAAGCCTGTTTTTCAGTTTTTTTTGTTTTGGTGATGTCAATTAAACTATCAAGAACGTTACAGCAAATGAAGAAGCAAATTATTTTTGTGCAAGAGTTGAAAACGCCGAACGATGTCTATTGATTTAATGAATTATACTTAAATGCTCATAGTTAGTAATGCGCGATACTCCACTTGCCGTTTTGCCAAACAGGGGCCCACTCTATCACACTTCAAGGAATTGAAGGGGTGCTATAATGGGATAGAGCCTTTTTAGAAAAGCGTTAAGAGTTATCAAAACAATTCAAAATGTTTCAAATATTTAGCTTGCATCAGAAGTGTTTTTGGGACCCATCAGGACAAACTGAACAGCAGATAGATAGATCATCAAGATAGACAAAAAACGATCTTAAAAAAGTAATTGCTTTTTTTCAATACACACCATTTAAAATAAGATGGGTAAGTACCCATTCTGCTGCTCCGTTAAGCCAGGCTTTTTTAAAACGATACGATCAATATACGATTGCGAATCTTATCAACTCATGAAAAGAACTCTAATTGGGTCAACGTTTTTTGTTCTAAAAAACTGGAACGACTGCTGTCATGTAAAAATGAAGCTGTCAAGTTAAAGTGAAAATTTTAAAAACTCTACTGCTCAAATCTCTTGCCTCAAAAATTAGCAATTTCCAATTGAATTCATGGCAGAAAAACTTGCTTTAACCTTCAACATATCAATTGCATCTGTCAAAAAAAATTAAGTATTTCAAAATCATTGCTTGAATAGTTTATTTCCAAAAACCTCGAGACTTTGCGGACCAGTGACGGCTATCGTAAAATATGAATCGTTTTGAGTTTCAAGAATTAAATGGCTTGCTTCAAAGAAACTATGAAGAACTCACTTCACGAATTTTGATTTTTTGCGAAACATTGTTAGTTATCGAATAAATTTCAAATACATCAATGTTTTATTTATAGCTTGATAGTTGGCTTTATTTAAAACAATTTCTTTTTTCCTTCAATGTTTTCTGAATCCTTTCAAGCCAGCAAATAACTTGAAAGCTTACTTAAGTTATTGTCAAATGCAAGCATGTCGATTTAAGCACTCTGATCAAACCTCAATTTGGCGTTACGTCGCTTAAATAGCTAACTTCAAAAAAATTCATTTTCTTTTGCACATGAAATCAAGCCATCATAAAATTTTTCCAGTTTCTTTTGGTGTGATACTTTGAATAAAAACTTAGCTTTTTGCAATCCATTACAAGCTATACAAACATCTTCCTTTATTCAAACTTTCATTGCTTCTTTAGCTTGCTTTAAAAATTCTTAATTTATGCGAACTTGTTCAAGCCATCAACTTAAATTGAAATAAACTGGATGCACTGGTAAGTTTTTTGTTGTAGTAAAATCGAAAATTTTGTTTCTAAATGGGATTGCTCCTAGTTCTTACAAAGGATAAGTAATTGTCTCATAAGACAAAAAAATTTTCAACATAAGCAGAGCCAACTTGGCTGCATCAGTTGCGACTGATAAGTTCCGCTAGTAATCAAGCACAAAGAATTGACCATATGATAATTCTTTTAGAAAAAGTTTTTCAAAAGTAACCAGTAATTTTTCTACAGTAACTCGAAGCTTCAACATACAATGCTTCAACGCATTCAATTATTCAACCACATCTGACTGAAAAAAACCCTAGCAAAAATCAATTGCAAAATTCGCAAGCACAAGCGGAAACACGACATTAATTCGCTCGGGAAAAACAATGAAACAAACATACAAAAGGCAAAAGAAGCTTTGAAAAATACAACTTCAGCTATATTCTGGGATCGAACCGCTGACCTGGTGATTTAAATTCTCACGTCCTCGCATCTTGCCTTGGTCGGTTGCTTGATTTTGAAAAAAAAACACTTACGCTGAGAGAGCAGACGAGAAAACTTGATTTCAGAAATCAAAACAAATGGTCAGAAATTCATTGTACATGTAATCGCTTGTCAGACAACAATCATCAGCAAACAAAAAAGATAAAGTAGCCGCAGTAAGACAAAAAAACAAACGAGCATAATTAAAGTCAGAGTATATAATTAAATTGAACTAGCGTTTAAGGCACCTTCGGTGCTTCGAAATTTTCGACAGCTCATGAAAAACCGCATATATTGCAAACAACATCTGCAAACTTTTAGTGTACTCTGACTGCACCCAATTACAGGGTTGGTAATTTCGAACTTAGAAATTTTTTCAATTCCCTTTTTAAAAGCGTCATCTCGAAAACTTAATGGGCCTCTGGAGAAATTTGGAGGCCAGCTTTGCAACCACTGGAAGTCCCTGAGAGCACCCTTCTATCGGGTTAGGAATCCAAAATTTTGTGAATTTTTTTGAACCTAAGTTTCCCGGAAAAAAAATTTAAAAAAAAAACGTCTTATCGCGGAAACCTAAAGGATTTGAGCATTCATATTAGGACACAAGATTTGTGACGCCTGGTTGTACGCTGACAATAAGGTTGTATCTTCCTCAAGTTAGTGTTTCCAAATTTTTTGAATTTCTTTGTAGATAAGTTCTTCGAGAAACATTGAAAAAATCAAAAAACATCAAATCACGGAAACTAAAAGCATTTGAGCAGTCGCGTTTAGCAGTCGCATGTGGCAAGATTTGCAACTCTTTAGAGTACCCTGACAACACCGAACTATAATGTTGGAAATTTCAAAATTTGAAAAATTATTAGTTTAAATTTTCTGAAGTTTCCTGAAAATTATTGAAAAAATCACAGAAAACGTCATATCTCGAAAACTACAAAGAACTGAGCAATCATATTTGGAGGCAAGGTGCGCAATCTTTGAGAGTACCCTGACAAAAGCTAACTACAGGGTTGGGAATTTCAGATTTTTAAAAACTAATAATAACTTAAGTTTCTGGAAATTTTTGAAAAAATCGCAAAAAAACGTCATATCTCGATAACTACAAAGAACTGAGCAATCATATTTGGAGTCAAGTTTCGCAATCTTTGAGAATACTCTGACAGGGCCCAACTAAAGGGTTGGGAATTTCAGATTTTGCGAAAAAAAAAATCATCTAAGTTTTCTGAAAATTTTTTGAAAAAATCACAAAAAACGTCATATCTCGAAAACCACAAGAACTTGAACTGTCATATTTGGAGGCAAGATTTGTAACTCCTTAGAGTATTCTGACAGCACCCAACTAAAGGGTTGGCAACTTCAAGTTTTGTAATTATTTTATTTGAAATCTCTGAAAAATTTTGAAAAAATCTCAAAATCGTCTTATCTCTTTAACTAAAATGATCGGGCATTCAAAATTGGAGGCCAAGTTCGCCACCCCTAATTCGATATTGGGCTGCTTAATTTAAACTCGGTAAAGTAACCACTAAAATCAAATAGGAATATCGAAAAAAAAACTTAACCATTGCAATATACGATATAGCTTAAACATGCAAAAATAATACGTTGAAAAAGCTTAAACATGGCGAGATAGTGAAGCCCGCATTTAAATATATAATAGATATAAATCTGCAAAACAAGAGATGTGCTTCAACGCGATTTAAAAACTTATGCATAGAAACATAATTATATCGGATGACGCGGGGGGTTGGGTTAAAAGATATTGTGAATTTCAGCCACATGTTCACTTGACGTGAGGATAGCCTGCGTCAACAGTCACCGCTCCTCGACCACTGTACTTATTGATGAGCCAATTGTATAAGAGTTTGAAGTTTGATTTTAGGGAATTCGATCCTCTGATACATAAAATTGTACTTTTTAGGAGTGCAAAACTAATGTTGGTTCCGATGAAGGTGTGGGTTGCATCTGCGTAGCAGTCTTCTCTCTTGGCACTTGATTAAGAGACAATGCTTTCGATAACTTTGGTGGCAGAAGGTCCAGTTCCACCAGTGCATGCAAGCATTAACGGGTTGAAGGCGGCATTCTTGACTTCTATGATTCTTTGTTCATATTTGAGTTTTTCAGATTTTCATGATAACTATATGAGTCTTTTATATTATGGACAACTTTTTGCAAGGGGATTGAATATTTGAACTTCAAAATATGTCTTCTTAAATCTGGACTCCCATAGAGAGATTGCTTTGATGTCTAATCTTGCCTCATCTTCAGTAATCGTTGACTTTTTTTTATCGAAGGACTCGCCTTGTAACGGCTGAGGATTGGGCTCAATTTCAACATCATAACATAGGTCGTCTAATAATTTTGCAAATGTGTCTCGTATCTCGTTGTGCCTAGTGATGATGTAGTCTCCTTTTGGAGAGTGAAGTTTATGTGCGATTGAGAACTGCTCGCCGCATGCAAATACCATTGGCATATTCTTAGGATACCCATCCGTATCTGAGTGATATACCATCTCTGAATTCAGATTTGGTCAGGTTAAAGTTGTAACGTTTCAGTGGGAGTGCATTGAGCCAGCTCGATGAGCCTTTCTCCGAGGCTAAATCGAGAGTATATATTTCCTTGTCAGTTAATTTGGCTTTTAACTGCTCTTTCTTCAATTTCAAAATCTTCGCATTTTGGCCCAGCATGTTCGCGGTACCCAGAGGTGGAGCAGAGCCATGCCAACAATAGATAAAAATATCGAATTTTTTCTGCGATGCGAATATTTTCTTGGATTTTTTTCTTTTCGTCAGAAATCTAGCCAGATCACTAGTCCCTCGATATGGTGAGGGAATAAATGCTATTAAACTGCCAACGCTATGAAGGAAATTTGCCAACAAATGAGCACTTCTATTAGCTAGTTTCGTTAAAAAAAGTGGATGGGTAAAAAACGTGCATGAAAAATTTTTGAATAAATGACTTTATTTTGCATATTTTTTAGAACAAACTGACTGTAACTTACAGGTATCCGGAGAAAACATTCTGCTCGCTTCCTGTACAAAGGATCGCGTTGTTTGTTGTACTTCGACTCGATCTTCAAAATTTCTTCACTTGATTGATCGTTCAGTCCTTCAAGTGCATTCTGTGTCGCATCAATGTTTTCTAACCAAAGCAAAAAAAGACTATTCAAAAGTGACTAATCAAAAAGCTATTCAAAAAGACTAATCAATATGCTCCCTTATTTCCTTTAACAGATCGGTTTCCTTTAAGAAACTCGACCATGTATAATAATACGTACCAATTGCTAGCTGCATATCCGCCTGCTTTTGAAACTCGCTCTTTCCATTTGACGTCGCTTTAGCGTCACCCATTACGATTCTATGGCGTTATCAAAGTAATCTGTGATAAATTTTAAGTGAAGGAAAGTAAAAAAGGCCGGATGGCTGGGAATCCAGCCAATCAGAGAGAAAACCATTAGGAGAGAATTAAAGCCTAATTTTTGTGATAAAATTGTAAAATACATTTTTCTTGGTTCAAATTTATCGCTGGTGTGTTTTCATATCAAATGCGCGATGGGCATTTCTCTTCTGATTATCTTACCAAATCTCGCCGTTCCAGTCGTAGGCGAGTGAAGCTTCCCTGGCGTATCTACACGCAAGAAGGAGTGAGCAGGTTGAACTACCCTTCAACAACACCACAGGTTGTACCGTTCCCACCTATTGCATTGTCGTTTTTGCGACATTCGACAGAATGTACGAAAATGCAGTTTCACATTCGAATTTTAATGGAGCAGAAAAAGAGCAGCTAACCTGGAAGATTTATGGTTTTAACAGATTAGTGACGTTATTTGAACGATTAGACAAATCGGGAAGGGTTCGCATTGACTGGCATAAAAATTTTAAAAAATTCGAATTGTGACGTCACATTTTTCAGAAATGTTAAAAAGTTCATTTTGGGAACGGAAACGGAAGAAAAACAGAGCAACAATAGTTGCAGTAAAAAAAACTACGTGAAAAAAACTACAGATTGAAGTTATAACTGGAAATTGTCAGAAACCGCTCCGAGTGGTAACGATTGTGCCGCTACAATCGTTACCGAGCAATTCGCACGAACGAAGAAGGGTATTGGGACGACGTGTACAGCCTTCCTAAAAGAAATGAGGATGTTATTTTCCCGGATTCCAGAATCCGGAGGGGTCTCGGGCCCAGAACTCAAACTGTTTTATATAAACTTTTAGCTTCCTGGTCATGCCCTGAGTTGAATTTAATTAACATCCAGATTCAATTTCAGAGAATGAGAAGCTATGTGAGGGAAAGGGTTGATCCATCTTCGATGGAGATGATGACTTTTATCTACTGAGCAAAAACAATAGTTTGAGAATGCGTTAAAATTGTAATTTCAAACAAACGTTTTCGCACATTTTGTGCATCTTCAGGTTTTAAAAATTCTAAACTATCTGTACAAAATGATCAAAGATCATAAAAAGTGTCACACACATCATTACTTCAAAATTTTGAAAATTCAACCGATCAAAACTTTACAAATATCACTGAAATTATGTAACAACTATTATGTAACATTTTAAAACATTTTGTCACAAATTTCTGAGAGTTTTCTTCATTTTTATTTTCACATTTTCGTTTTTAATGCTAAAATGTAAGTTGTTTCAAAATTTTGTTGTTTTAGCCAGAATTTTTCGATTCTGGAACTATAGCCTTAGTGTCAGCTCCCTACTTCTAAACTCGTCGCGCGTGTTAATTGCCGGTCTCTCCTTCCTAATGTGCAGCGCCTCTAATGTAAGTAACTTGATGCTGCTGGACGCCTGGTCGATTATTTTCCAATTAAACTCAGACTTACCACTCTCACTACCACACTGCCTTATATGCTGTCCAACTGGGGTATCCTCTTTTCGGTGTTCCTCAATCCTTGTGGTGAGATGACGGACCGTCTGGCCAACATAGATGGATTTGCACCCACAACATTCAAGTCTGTACACCACTTTTGATTTCATTTCACTGGAAAAGGAGGATTTTAGAGAGGGCATACAAGTTTTCAATTTCCTCTTCGTGAATATTATCAGCGCATTGGTGATATCGCGCACTTTTTTTGCTAATGTCTTACTGTGATTCCCCCTATATTGGACCATCAAGATGGGTGGTGAATCACTGCTATAATCACAGGGCTTCTTTTTCTAAGCCATATTCTTTTTGTTTTTGCCCTCGCTGATGATTTTTTCAAGGGCATGGGATGCAACCCGCGTCGACCAACTTTCCGGATATTGGTTATCCAACCACTGCTCACGGTTGATTTTCATGGCTTTATCATATTCTTCCCATGTTGAGGTACTGCGGAAAACCCGGTGAACAGTTCCTTCAATCACACTTCTCTTGTACTGAAGGGGGGCGCAGCTTCTAAAATTTAGTATGGTACCTGTATCTGTTAGTTTTTGATACCATCCACAGCTAATTTTCCTGCTTTTGTGAATACTAATTTGTAAATCCAAAAATGCCAAAGTTCCGTTTGTGTATCTATTGTGAACTGTATATTTGGATGTAGTAAGTTTGCAGCCCGTAGCAATTTTTCGGGATCACCCTTCACTGTTCTCACTATATCATCAACGTAACGGAGAAATAATTTAGCTTGTTGCCCTGACTTGTTTTCTCTCTTATTGCGATGCATTTTCTGCAGTACCAGACGGTTTCACTTATATTTCGATACTCATCATCTGATATATCACCGCATTTTACGTGATACCAGTTCAAACAGCATTCACATTCTACACCTTTTGACCTGTACGTGACTTTCTTATTGCACTCGGGACATATTCCGTGAAGATCTTTCTCGGGCAAAAACATTTCGGGAATATCCCTCGATAGTGCAGTTTCGTACTGCTTCAGCCAAAGATTTGCTAAAATAACGGCAAGAGATGCCCCCATTGCCAAACCATCTTTCTGAACGTACCATGTTTCATTGCACTTGAAATGGACTTGACTAACTGCCATGTTCAACAGTCTCTTCATGGTTTTCCTTGCTCATACAGTTTTCTCAGAGCTCTGTCTATCGCTTCTTTCAGTGGAACATTTGTGTACAAACTCTTCACATCTAGAGATATCAAGTTTTCATTGGGCTCAAGATTAGTGCTCTCTAAGATTTCTCTCGCATCTAGTGAGTTGGTTTCGATGTTTGCGCCCTCAATTTTCTCAAAAAATTTTGCAAGAACCTTGTTCAAGTTATAATAAGAGCTACCAGGCAAGGAGAGGACCGGTCTTAATGGGGGTATTCACTTTATGCACTTTCGCCAACCCATAAAGCCTGGCGGGCTGCCCCCCAGTAGACCTCATCCTTGTGTAGAGACTCTCACTTATTTCATCTTTTTTCCTCATAGCCAACAACTCCTTATTGATGTCTCTTTCTATCTTCAAAACAATCGCATCACTTGTTCCTTTACTTTTGCTGAATTGATTTGAATCTAATGTATCCGACAACTTGTTCTCGTAGGTGTCCTTTCTCATTACCTAAAAACCCAAGCCTTTGTCATACGGTACCGCAACTAATCCATTACTCTTCAGATACTTTCGGGCCTTCTCAACGCCTTTGTCAGATGGTGTTTGCTTCACCCTTTTAGCATAGGCTTTTGCCACAGCTTCGATCTCACAAAGGGCCTCCCCGGGGACTTTACGATTTTTGAGATCCGATAGAAAGATGTCAATGTCGGCGAGAAAGTGCGTCTCATTAAATTTATCCCTGACGGGATGCTTTGGCCCTAATGCCAACAATTGTTGTACCCAATTTGGTAATTCAACATCATCAAGAGCTCTTACCGAACCCTCACCTTGCTTCCCTAGAGGTCGGTCTTGCCTTTCTGATAGTTTCATTAGCTTCTTCTGATGGGTGTCTTTGACTGTTGCTGTTTGTCTTTGTCCCCTAAGACTTAAATATTTAATTACCGAAGGCCAAAACTTCTCATCTACACCACTCTGTACTGCGCCTCTCGCCCTTTCTAGTTTGACTTCAACGTTTTTCTCATCTGTCCTTGCCTTGTTTATCTCCGTTCTTAGAACTTTTTTCTGAAAACTGTGTACCGCTTGGTTCGAAAACACCCCATTTTCCGGTACCCTGAACCTCAAAAAATCAGGTATAATGTCGTTTTCTCGACAAACTCTCAAAAATTTAACACGTTGGTGACAGTTGATAAAAAACAACAGTAATATAATAAATACTAGTAGCCCTGTTTTTAGGAGTGACCTCGTAGTCTGGCGATATTGAGACCTAGTCATGAGCTCACTATTCTTGCATATAATTAGGGTAATTTGAGTGTTTTGACCGAAGCCGGAAACGGTAACGTTTTTGTCGACCCGATGTTAGAAAGACCACCAAAAATAACTGGCTTTGGCAGAGACGGTGAAAAGCACAAAGAGCTGTGTTTAGACGCTAGCCAGTCGTTTTAGAACCCAGCTTTATTTTCCGTCGATATGTATTTCCGGTCAAATGTTACATTTTTTTTAAACTCTCGTATTTAAATTAAATTCTTTTGTGATTCATTGCCCTACCACCCCCCATCTTTTTACTTAAGAGAATCTCCGATGCTTTCGCTGTCTGTGTTTCAGGTGTATGCCCCGAATCCAGGCAAGTCGCATCCCTGACTTCTCACAGAAGCTTGTAATTGGCACATCAAGGACAAAGTATATCAAACCAGCTTTAGTAAAATCTACAACTCACTCCTACCGCGGCGCCACACTCCAAGATCTGTATGAAACAGTTTTACAATACACACCAAAGCGCCTTAATACAGTAACCATTATTGCCGGGTTTGATGATAATACGTGCGCCATTCCCCCGGTTTGGCACGGTCGACCTTCCGAAGCACGCCATAAGGAACGTTAAAGGCATTATTACCTAAATTATGGTGAAATTGGAAACTTTCTAGAGAAAAAAGTGTAAATTCAAGTCTTGTGAAAAGACAATAATGCAAGTATGAAAACATGAAAAATATCAATAGTTAAATTTCAAAAGTATGAAACATCAGTTGTAGTCAAGGTGTAGTTGTTCTAGGTAATATCAAGTCAGCTTTTAACGTTTATCGATTAAAGGTGACCCTTTATTACGTTGTAACTCATGTCTATTGGGACAAATCTCTGAGAGGTCTCGAATTATCAGCACTATTAGTACGGTTCTATAACTTGGCTTACAAATCACTGATATTGCTACGAACCATTTGACTAGAACGAAACTTCGGATTCTAATTGATTTTCCAGTGATTCTTCAAAATAAAGCCGCGACGGCCCAGAGGCGTCGGATTGGTCCTAAATAGATTGGAACCTCTCTAAGAAATACAAAAAACGGCCATTTTGACCGAATAGATGAAAAAAACACAATAACCGGAGAATAACCGAATTCCAAG